GTTAATGTGAAGTTCTTCAGATGGCCCCGTTGTCCTTTGAAGCTTCTAACACCAAGGTGTCTGTTGCAGCCCAGAGCAAGGTTACTGCTACCCAGGACAGCACTAATTTGCGATGTATTTTCTGTGGTAAGCAACATTATGTTTACATTACTTTTTCAAGCTGTGGTACATACTACTTGCACATTTCCATAACTTTTGTTTCCTTAGGCCATGGTCTGGTTTGTGGTATTTGGGATATTATAGCAAGCTGTTTTTATGTTGTGATATTTGTTGTGGTTCATGTAGGTGATTTGGTCAGCTTTTTAGTTGGTTTGTTAGGATTTAGTTAGAATTAGGATTTTAAAACTATTTTTGTCTACCTCTTCCAACACAAATGAGAGGGGGCTTTTGTTTGTTTACTTTTATTTTTAACTCTTTTGTTTGGGAACAAACTTTTAACTTAGAATTTAAGGAAAATATATTCATTTTAATATGATTTGAGGTATGTAAATGTGCCTTATTCAAAAGGAGCTTTTGCTTAACTTGAATTAATTTTAGGTGTGCATGTTGTAAGAGGCAGATGTAAACTTATTGCTTTAGTAGGTTTATTTCTGATTGAGTCTTTACTCAGCAGTTGAGATCTGTGGCTTAGTGAATTTACTCTCAGTATTTTCTTTYACACTCATATACACATTTGTAGATATGTATTATTTGTATAGACAATGTAGGTATGTCGTATAATCRCCCCAAATTAGAGAAAATCAAATATGTGTGGTGTGTGTGTGTGTATATATATGTTTTTTCTTACCTTCATACAAGATAAAAAGAGAGAGGTTCTTGTCTAAATTCTTTTTATCACTGTTTGATTCTGAAACTCTATTTTGAAAACCCAGGTTCCAAAAAGCGACATAGTTCTTTGAGTTTATACACACACACAGCACGCACATATGCGCATATACCCCTTTTTGACTCATGTATACCTTGACTAGCCAGATTTTTTTGTGAGAGAGATAAAACTTATAAAGTGTTATACTACAACAAATTTGTGTTAACAGTTCAACTCCGTGTATGTACTTTATCCATGTGACTCAGAATTTTTAATGTGGTTCCTCAGTATTACTGATATTGTTTCTTTAAAGAGAATCATTTTAAAATTTATGAACTTAAAAGTTTAGGCAAAGAAGCATGTTATAAATTATAAAAAGAGAATTCTAGTGTACTTCTTAATCATCTAAAATTATTAGTTTAGATTTGCTTCAGGTGACACAGTTAGCATCTGTGAGCCCATTTGTGTGGCTTTTATAAAACCCCTCTTTTTCTTTTTTGAATATTTATTTTTTTAGTTGTAGTCGGACACAATACCTTTGGTTTTTATTTATTTATTTTTATATGGTGCTGAGGACCGAACTCAGGGTCTCATGCATGCTAGGCGAGCACTCCACCACTGAGCCACAACCCYAGCCCTATAAAACCTCTCTTAAAACATTGCAGATTTAAGCATTTAATCAGTAACTTTATTTCTGAAATTTCATCTCTTCTTGAGGCTTCTTCCAGGCCAGCTTTTGAACTAGCCATGAGTGGTTATTGATATTTGTTTTATTAGGAGTCTCTTCAACTCATTTTTAATAACCTAACTTTCTGCTGTAGAATTTGAGGTCCACATTGCAGAATAACAGTTTATCCAGTTGCAGAGAAAAGTTTAATTTGGCCTTAATAAAGGTGATTTTTAAAAATTTTTCTGAAACAGTGGTTAAAAAGCAGATTTTCCTCATTATCATCTTTAACTGTGTAAAACAATATAGTTACCACTTTGCTAAGTTTAAATTTGATTGTATTGTGAGGACCATTCATCTTTTAGTCGGTGATTTAAAATAGTCTGTGGCTAAGTATGAAACTAGATTTGTGAAAATAAAAATGGGCCAGTAAGTGAAATAGCTTCATCCAGAACTCAATATTGTAGGCAAGACTGAAATGCCATTCATGTTTCAGAGAGAGATTCTAATCAGATTTCCATCATTTCTAGGATACTTTATCAGTGATATTACCACATTTTCTTTATTAGAAACAGTAATTTACAAACTTTGCTGTATATCTTCTTCTAGCCTGGACAAATTAAGATCAGCCATTGTCTTTGGCTCTGGTTATAAATTAGGGAGAGAGTGAGCCCCCAAACAGCTGCTGTTGCTGTTCATGATTGACAGTGGAAACAAAGCAGGACCATTTGTTTCTTAACCTTGGTTGTTTCTTCTCTCTTTATTTTTCCTAAAAGAGAGCTGTTAACCACTACATGATGCTTATAAAATACTGTCATTTGCCCACTAAGATGTTTATGACAGTATCTATTTTGTATTTTATGAGGACACAGATACCCGTTTAGGAATATGACCTATGTATAGTAATAGCTATAGTCTAGAAAATATGGTAGCAGCTAATACCCTTGCCTAATCTTAGTTGCTGTTTCATAGTTGGGTTCAGTGTCTTTGGTATTATTTACCAGATCATAATCCATTAGAATGTAATTCCTATCTGTATTTCATAATTTACTTGAAATTTTTATTTAACATTTACAGTATGTTTATATTAATTTTAAATGCACATAAATTTCAGTGTGCTAGTTTTTGTACTTTGACAATTTTAATGAAGAAGAAACAAACAAAACAGCCAAATTAAAATACAAATGTGAGAAAATACCACAGGGAGGGATTCATTCTCCATTTAAGAATGTTCTGAAAGACAAATGCCCCAATGTCACAAAGAACCATATAGCAAAGAATTTTAAGAGTTGTTGTTGGATYACATTTCTCACCAATTTAAAAAACTTCAAGGAAATTTTTCTTTCCTTCTTACGACCAAAAAATATCAGTAATAGGACCCACAAAATATTACCCATATTTTGAAAACCTCCTTTCTAAATGGTTGTACCTAGTATGCTTTTAAAAAGCCTTAAAAAATATTCAAAACAGGTTCTATAAGTCGATGATTTTTTTTTCAATTTTATGAGTTAATGTCAGATGTGTTAATTTTAATAAAATCAATAGGATTGAGTTGAAATTTGACATTTTTCTTGAATTTATTATTATATCTGAGTTAAAATTTAAACATTGAATTAGTGAACTTAATCCATTAATATTACTGTAGAGATAGGATACCTGTTTTAGATGTGAGCAAAACTATTAGAATTGCCAAACAAGTCTAACCTGCTGATATTCAGCTATTGTATTATTTATATAGCTTGAGATTTTCACTTAAATACTCAAACATTATTTTAAAAAAGTTAGTTAAACCATAATTGTCTTAAACTGGCTGTGCCACATGCTTGCATTTAGTAGTTTGGGGCAAATATAACTTTGGATGTGGAAAGTACATCCCTCCCTAGATTTTATGCTTTCTCAAATTTACCTCTCACCTTGTATGTTCCCATCCTTTTGCCAGAAATATCTTTTCCCTRTAACCTGTGAAATATAAAACATGAAAACATGGCCTAATATGACAGTCTTTTTAAAATATATATCATGTTAATTTGCAAAGGAACACGCTCTAATCTGTTTACTAGACAATAATTATTTTTTATTTATGCAGAGATGCAAGTGTATTTAATTTTGATTTCTAAAACCTTTTTTTGTTGTTACTGATTTTGTGGAATTAATATATTTCTGTATTTCCTTTATTTGGATCTCAAAATAGCAGATTCTTAGGAAATCTAATTAAAATATCCCGGCAGTTGTCATTTAAGTTGTAAGAGGTCAAATTAAATGATCAGTCTAAAAATATTTGTAAAGAGATGAGGGAAAAAAGTTGGTAGGTAAGTTCAAAACAAATTAATTCTGTTTTCTGTACCTAGGTTATACCATAACTGTATTACATCCTGATGGATCTTTACCTCTAGTTTCAAAGTCTACTCCACTAATATAAAATAGATGTGTTATGCTCTTAGCTCATAAATTATAGTAATTTGCTTTTATTTACTAGTAAAAGCTTTTTWAAAAAAATATACCAATGATTTACAAAAGTCTTTTAGAATCTTTGGTAGGGGCATTTGGTGGCACACTAGAATTCAGAAATATATATATAATTTATCATATATTACTCTCCAAGAGTAGAAGATAATTCTTTGTTGTGTTGTTTACTGAGATGGATTTCAAGATTGTTCTAGTTTAACGTTAGGCATCGTGTGTTATATTATAAGTCCAGCATTTATCTTATTTAATTTTTATATCCAGTGACATCAAGATGTCTGATAATTTAGAGGCATTCTATCTAAGATGCTAAGATGGGATCTGCATTGTACATAATATATGGGAATGGATGGTCATTATTTTYACATGACAGAACCATGTTGGTGTAAATGCAGGTTTCATTTTTTTTCCTTCTTACCCCAAATGAAAAGTTAAGATTACCTGTATTGCATTAAGAAATTCAGATAAATAGTTTAATTTATTATATGGAAGTTTAGCAAATGTTTGTTTTTACCAGTAATGGAAATGCCAGGCCGTTAAAGAAAAATGGCAGCTTAAATTGGGCAAATTTGATAAATGCATTAGCATACTGCAGTCTAGTAATAAGGTTCTCATGCTCTCTCTCTCCTGTTTTTCATTTCCAGTGTTCTATTTAGGTGAGTTTTTTAATTCTGATTTTTCATTTAAGTTCTCCTTCTCCACTTCATAAATAATTACCCCAAAGAGAATGTCTCATTGTCTTAGAAATGTCAAGCTTAGGTGCCTCTTCAGATGCTCATTGAACACTTGTTTTACTCAAGCTCTTCATATGTAAATGTTTATTTTTCCCTTATTGTTGATGTTTTTCATTTGTTTCAAGTAAGCCTTCTGGAGATGATGACAGTATTATGTTGCAGTCTTTCATTTGCTGTGTGTTATGTAAAGCTTATATTTTATTTTGCTAGACAAAAAGAAGATACATTTGTAAATATGTGATGGTTTTTATGTTACTCTCATGATTTTATCTCCTCTGTCCAGCTAGATGTAAAGATAATGTTCATCTATAATATTTTCCTCCCTTTCTAGGGCCAACATTGCCTAGACAAAATTCACAACTACCTGCTCAAGTTCAAAATGGTCCATCCCAAGAAGAATTGGAAATTCAGAGAAGGTAAATTCACAAGTTAATTGTTTGTATTTTTACCTTTCTGTTGCAGAAAACCACACTATGAAAATCCGATTATTATTTTTTTTAATATTTTTTTATTGTTAATGGACCTTTATTTTATTTTTTACTTATATGTAGTGCTGAGAATCAAACCCAGTGCCTCACACATGCTAGGCAAGCGCTCTGCCACTGAGCTACAACCCCAGCCTCTGAACATCCAATTATTGGAAGCAGATTTATATCTTTCCAAATCACAACTTTGATTATTAATGTTAGTAAATTTGGGAATCATCATTAATAAGTGGTCATATATTTATCATGCTGAACACAAAAGATGTTTTAAGACTTCTTAACTACTTTTTTGTGGAAACCATACCCATGGTATGTTTAAAATATTTTTAATACATTTAACAATCTATAAAATGTCTTTACCCTTCAGTAAGTATAGTTATAAAGTAATCTGTGACCAGGAGCTGAAGTTGTGGCTCAGAGGTAGAGCGCTCGCCTACCATGAGTGAGGCACTGCGTTGAATCCTCAGCATCACATAAAAATAAAATAAAAATTACATAGTTATAGGTGTCCACCTATAACTAAAAAATAAATGTTAAAAAAAAGGTAATCTGTGACAAGTGTGGTTTTTACATGGCCACTTTCACTAGAAAGTTGAAATAGTGTTGACTGGTTCTAAAAAGCATTGCTGTTGAGATAAAGGTTTTAGTAGGCAAATACAAAATCATTCTGTTTATAACTAAATGCTAGTTGAACAAGGTTGGTTACATTATCTTCAACATTTCAGCGCAGTCTAAAAATACATTTGAAATTATAGTACCTCATTTAGGTGTAAATTTTTCTGAATTTGCTGCGAGGCTGATTATAAAGCTACTTTGTAAGAAAATTGTTTTATAAAAGTCAGGTAACTAAAACTGAGCTAGACAAAGAAGGGTCCCATTTTTAAACAAAATGAAAAATTTTAAGAGATTCTTATTTTTTTTTATTAAAAGCATGGCACTGAGCTCCACTCATCTCTAGTGAGGGGACCTGCTCTCTTGGCTTTGTCACAGAATGTTGGGAGCATGTATGTGAGGAATAGATCACAGGGCTAGACAGCAAGCCAGAAAGAGACTGGAATTCCCTGATCCCTTCTGAGAGCATGCCTCCAATTGACCTAAGGACCTCCAATTAGGCCCGCCCTCTTAAAGGTCTACATCATCTCCCAACACTACCACCCTGGATGCCATGCCTCCAACACATGAACCTTTAGGGGGCACATTTAAACAATAACCAAACCATAGCAGTTGGGTACTGTAGTTTCCTTTTACTACTCACTCCTCTGCTGTTGACTTCTAAACCCATAGCTCTGGCTGTGATCATTTGCACGAAATCCAGACTCATAGTTTTAAATAGAGTAGTGCCATGGACCCTTCAGAAAATTTATTGAAAGCAATAGACCACTACCCTCCCCATATAGCCCTTTATCTTTCAGGTAGCTATATAATTATATACAAAAACATGTGTGCCATATCAGAGTCACATATCCCCTGAATTCTGACAGTGGATCCTCAGTAACAATTCCTATTATAGAGCTCATCCATTTGGATTGCCTACTGACACCTCAGTTTAAACTCTTAGGATTTCATCTTTAATGTAAATTTTTTCTTCTCAATAATTTCAGCTTAGAAACACTATAATTATCATTGCTTACTGTACCTATTTAACCATACCCTAAAAGCCTTATGATGGATTTATTCTTCTGACATTCTTCTTGCTCATCTCTCTAATATTTATTCTCTTAAGTATTGCTATAATTTGCTATTTGATTTTTGTCTTTAACCTTTCAGTTCTTTCTGCTTACTACTGTCATGTTAATTTTTCTTAAACTCTTGCACACAGCATAGATAATCTTAAACAGTTTAGAGCGGCATAAAATAGGGTAAAGAAGGTACTGTATAAATGTACTCTATTTATGTTTTGCTTTTTGAATGATCACATATATTGATAGTAGCAATTAATTCTTCACTCTAAAAAATGAGGGATTCTTCTCTTCKCAATTAATGGCAATTATTATTTTTCATTCTGTTATTTTTTCTCCCCAGATAGAATCAGTGGCTGGGGATATAACTCAGTGATAGAGCACTTGCCTAGCATGTGGGAAGCTTTGGGTTTAATCCTCAGTATCCTCAAATAACTAAATTWAAAAAAAAATGAATTACTCAAGTAGAAATCTGTGTTTTAACCTTAGAAGATATCTCTTAATTACTCTAAGAGGAGCACAGTCATTCCACATGTTTTTTTTTAATCTTTCTTACCTCATTTAATCATCTGATTTTATAGACATCATCAATTTAAAATTRTTTTCAAGATGTATGCAATTATAGTGTTTTTGTAACTGACAGTAAATCTTTGTCCTTATTCATGCAAATCATCTTTTTTTTTTTCCCTTTCCTGGAATCCTCCTAAATTCTCCTATTAGCCATTRTAGTCTGAGTTTTCACAAGAAAATGTGGCTAGACCATAGTTTCATTATAGCTCAATACTTGGTGAACCTTTTCCATTTGCAGACTCATCTACAACTCAAGAATTTAAAAAAGTCTGTTGCTTTTATTATTTCTTTCCCTCCCTCTCTCTCTGCCAGCGGGGCTCCCCTCTTCCTTGGTTGTTTATTTTGTTCTACTGGTCAAATTCTGGACCTTTCGGTTATCTTCTTATGATACTTATCATTTCTCATTTCCTACCTATTTTTGTTTTTTGTATTCTTGGCAGTTTTCTGAACTTTGTATTCTAAGCCAGCAATATTCAGTACAGCAATGTATTATTTTTTTTACTAGAAGCCATACTAATAAAAATAAAAGATATCATGTCAATGTGAAATAATTATAAAATCATTCAGATATTTCACATTGTATTTTTATGCTAATTCATCAAAATTCAGTATTTTACATTTAAAGTGTTTAGACTGAACACATTGTGAGTGTTCAGTAGCTACATGTGGTTCATGGGGGACATTGAACAACACAGTAGTATCTCTTTCATTGAAATTTTGATCTTTAAGGTCCTTTCCTTTTTTGTACTAGTTCCTTGTTCATGGCATTGTACTATATTCATGGCTGTACCTTCAGTGACTCTTGTTTCTCTTCCTTTGTTTGAGTTGTCTTCCTCCTAAAACACTGTTTAGTTGTACTCAAGTATCTGGACATCCTTAGTGGTCTGTTTATTTCTAAAGAGAATTAGGGTTAATGATAGCAGTACTTGGCATGGGGTTTCCTACTGCATTAAGGAGGCCAGTCTCTACTAGGTAACATTCTTCTGTGACTGAGAGGTCCCTGAAAATTGGTAGAGCAAGTAGACTTGATAAGCTGACCTTGAGGATGTCAAGGAGAGCAACCAGGCCTCAGGATCCCACAAATGCTGAGTTCCCTTTAGTTCCCCCAGAAGCCTAACTTCTCTGAGGCAGCTTGTTCCATTCCTTTAGAGGACAGTCTTCTATAGTAATGATGTTCCATCCACTGAGCTAGGGTTGGGGGGTGAGGGTAGCCAGTACTATTATTCTGAGTACTTAGGATGTATGGGGGGTGAGGTGGGGCAGAAAACCTGGACACAATCAGTCAATAAACATGACATAAAATAGTAAATGATAAGTGCTATGGGGGAAAAATAGAGCAGAGAGGGGATTGATTATATATATATAGGGGCAAGGGGAAATGCTGGTGGTAATTTTTTAAAGATTGGCTAGAATAGATCTATAAAAGAAAGGAATTAGCCAAGCAGATACTGTGTAAGTGGATTGTATTGATGGGAGGATAATAAGAGGGAGTAGTTAGTACAAAGGCCTGAGGGCAAGATTGTGGTTGTGTGTACAAGAAAGAACAAGAAGGCTACACTGCCTGGAACAGAGAGACCACAAATGGAAGAGGGGAGCTGTAGGAGATAAAGATGGGGCGGTGGGGGAAGATGTAGATCATGCAGGACGTTAAAGAATTTAGCTTTCATTCTAAAATAAATGAAGAATGACTGGACAGTTTTGAGCATAGGCATGATCTGACAACATCTTAACAGAATCTGACAGCTGGAGGCAGGTACAGGGTTGTTTCAGTAGCTCAGTAAGAAAGCTAGTTAAGAGGCTGTTGAAGTCTACTAGGTAAGGAAAAATGATATCTTCCATCAGGTAACATAGGTATGAAAAGCCATACTTTTATCTGTCCTGGTAGATTATATTGATGGGTGGGTAATAAGAGAAGGAAAGGGGTTGACATTGTTAGGCTAAAGTAGTTGGCAAGGTGGAGTTGGCATTAGAAAGTTGACATGGGAAAGGCTATGAGTAGAGCAGGTTTTGCTGGAGGATGTCAGGGATGAATGTTGAGRATGTTAGGTTGAGATGTTTATTGGGCAAGTAGAGATGCTGAATAGATGCACTAGTCTGTAGGAGACTAGGAAGGAAGTCTGGACATCACAGCTTATTTTTACTTCTTCTGTCTTCCAGAAATTTTATGATAAATTTACCATACTAATGACAATCCTTCTCAGTTTTCCATTTTGTAATGATTATATTTATATACATTTTTATGATTCTAGAATTTTGGTATAATTTTTAGAGGAGATGGTAAGATTGACTACTTATTCTGCCAGCCTTAATAAGTGTCTGAATACTGTCTTGTTGCCTCCCTGATCAGCATTCCTTACTGCCTCCTATGCTCATATCCAGGGTAATTTTTTGGCCTGATCTTTAGGATCCTGCTCTGTGTATCTCTTTCATTTCTCTTGATACTCTCTCTATACACCATACTCAATTTTCCCTGTGTACTTTGTGTGTGGCATTTGCCTCTTGTGCCTTGCCCTACTCATCCATTCTATGTTGTCCTTTTCTGTACTCTTCTCAATCCATACACTGATATCATTGTTTTTTAAATTCCTATAACACACATGAGTTTTATATTTTCTTCTGAATAATGTAAAAAAAAAAAAAATTGGTGGTGGTTAGTAGATCAGCAAACCTTTAAAATTAAGC